CAAGTTGCAGAGCCATTGACAAGTGCCGAGACCAAAAATCGTCAGAAGGGACGAGTGAAGCTAGTGACAATGTTTTTGCGACAAGCCAGTGGAGCCGGGATCCGTCCTAAATAATGGGATGTGTTCACGGAACTGAGCATAGGAGCTACATCCTCCCCATGGCCCTGGTGCACGAGCTCGCCCGACATCCGAGCCACGTGGAAGCAGCTCGTCTTTCCGGTGCATTGCCTGGCGGCGGGGATGCTGTTACTCCTGACAGTCCAGACCGAACGTCATTACCTCTGCAAAGGCAATCCGTGCCGAAGGCCAGCGAGCGAGCCCGCCTGACGCCATCATCTCAACGACGTCATCTAACCCAACGCGCCGCTGTGTCTTACGCAACGCACGGCGAGCTCCCTCAACGCATAGGCCTGATAGCATCCCGATGATGCAAGCGGCGCCATCTAGTCTGACGAGTTTTACGCAATGCGATGGCAACATCACTCGCTCATGGGTGCAACCCAGCGGCGGTTTCTGACTGAAGGAATCTGAAATCATGGCCAACAGTGCTTCTGATTGGATGTTGGTGACGTAAGACATCACCTGGGGCCTATAAAACAGCCAAGCGGCGCGTCGCCAGCAGCCGACGTGTACGTCAGAGAGAAGACATCTCGGCTGTTCAAGTCCCAAAGCTGTCGGCCCCAGTGCCTAATATGTAACGCCTCTATTCTTATGCTGTACATAAGCCTTGCCTTAACTCACCGTCGCCTTGTCCGCTCGTCTATCAGCTCTGCGCAGAAGCAGTCGCGAGCTGAAAAACGTTACCAAACGGCTGGTGACCGTGGTGGTCCGTGACCTCGGTGCACTTCGCAACAGTGTCGGCGGCAGTGCGAGTCGTAACAGTTCTTAAGGGAACACGAATATACGTAATCACTAAAGGTAACAGGAATGCAGCGGTGATGAGAAACAGGGCACATTGGAATTACAATATATATGATGTTGTGAGAGGAATTTGGAAAGGGGTCATGCTTCCTGGTCTGGCTTTCGGGAATGCGGTCTTGTGCATGGGATCAGTTCAAGCAAGATCAGGAATTAAGCAATGTGGAATAGGTAGGCCTGCTTTAGGAGCTCCCGTGAATACGCCAAAACAGAGAGTACCAGGTGATATGAAATGGGCATCAATCGAGAGCAGGGCAGCTAGATAAAATTTGAGAAGCAATTGAGAGAAATCGGGGAGGAGCGTAGGGCTAGGAAAGTTTTAAAAACTTGTATATGAGGAATGTCAATACAAAATAGAAGAAGTGAACCAAAAAATTGACGGAGAAACACTTAGAAAACAGCAAGGAGGCAAATTAAAAAAAGAAACTATCGGTTATAATGAAGTTGAAGGAAATGGAGACCGATATGTGGAGAATTGGCATGATTAAGAAGTTGGCGCTAGAGATCTATGAAGCTTTTAAGCAAGAAACTGCTAAGGAAAGAATCCGTGAAAATAGTCGGGGTAGTTCACTGTTTGATGCCAGGAGGGGAGTATTGCGAATCGGGAATAATCGGGCAAAATACGAAAGTGTAGACACGGTATGCAGTGTGTGTGGAGAGGAGGAAACTGCCGAACACTTGATAATGTTCTGTAAAGGGCTTCACCCTATAGTTCAGGATGATCGCGCAGTTTTTCAAAGCACTGGGGCTTAGGGACAAGGAGGGCAAAATAGACCTTAAGCAGGTATAATAACTAGAATGAGGTTATCTGATTGGTGGCTACAATCAAGGCACGAGTGAAAATTAAATCCTTCACCGCAAAGTACCAGTCTTTAACTTCACTGTTTAAAGGGAAAAAAAGATAAATTTAGTTTTTGGTTGACTTAGCATTACGGCTAGGTGGCGTTGGCCGCCGCCCGATCTAAAAGGTACATACATATCAATCCATCCACCCGGTACAATCGACATTTTCTGTGGTTTCACGTATAGATTAGAGTGCCTCAATGCCCGCTCCTCCGCTTGAGCGGGGGCGCGCGCATCGAGGCACCCTATCATTTTGTGACGTTGCAGAAGTAAAGAACATTTGCGGGGCGTGCACAACACCCCGAATGGCGCCCGGCGAGGACTATAGTTCCGCCACCACTGTCGCTCTGTGTTCGGGCTGTTTTGAGGTGGTTTAGTCTGCTTACGCCAGAAAAGCTTTTCTTTTTTTCTTGGGGGCACATGCTCAAAGCCCCCACCTCATTTCATTCTTCACCGCCCGCGGGTCCACCCTATTCGAAAACAGCGTGTTTCTTAAGTTATTTCTATATGAGAGAAAGGAGGTAAAAGCGAGCTCTGTAACTGTTTGCATCTGAGTGCGACACCTCAACAGTGGCTCACGAGGGATGAGGCTAAGTCTTAAAGGATCGGGATAGATATGAGGACACCAACATACAGAAGAAAAGATAGAGAAAGATGGGGAGACGGTCGAAGAAGTCCGAGGACCACTCAGCGAGAGAGAGCGTCACAGCGTCAGGAGATGGCGGAAGGCGAGCCGGTCGGCCAGAGCTGCGCTGTCGTCGGAGATCGCGGGAGCACAAGCGTTCGGCACGGAATTCAGCGAACGACTGGGCGTGTTTCGGGCCTTCAGCGTCACCGAAGCTTGAGCGCACGCTTAGTTTGAAGCGCTGCTTCGCTGTGGGGCGCTAGTTTCTAGTGGAATTTCGGCGGACGTTCCGAACTGGCGCTAAATCCTTCGGAATTAACGCCGCTAGCATTAATTATACGATTCGTCAGAGCATTTACGATATAATTGCGGCATTACCAGAGGCGAAGCTACAAATTACTGTAAAAAAATGGCAGCATATCCACGGTGTGAATGATGGAGAGTGGGGCGAAGCATTCGTCCGTTAATTGGTTCTTGCTTCCGTCCGTCCATGCGTCCATCCGCCCGCCCGTTCGTCCATCTATTAAACACTCCAAGTACCACCATCTCGCATCTTTTCATCATATATTCCCCATATAGAAGCACGCCATCCAGCGGACATTCCAAAGATTAAACGAGAGGTGGCACACGCACACTTTCTTACGGCTTGCGCTTCGGGTATACTTCCCACCTTTAACCACCTCGAGTTCATGGTATATACTAGTTCACTGTATTCATGGCACTGCGGCCCAACGCTCGCTAAACCGAGGTTACGCCCAGCGAGTAAAACGTAGCAACACTTTCTTGTCAAATAGTGCTCAATGTACATGCCAATGGCTGCTAGTGGGGATCGCAGCGTGCGCGTTAACTAATAGCCGAATGCTCCTGTCTCTCATTCCACATTAGTATGTACATTGAGCACTATTTTTCATTGTTCAACAACGCACAGAAGAAATCTCTCACCGGCACCACCTTGGAGGTCAAAATGTTATACTTGTTACATACTACAACGGCTACGAGGGACGCACGGGTGCCGTTATGAGAAGCTTCGCCCCTAAAAACTCCCAAGCAAGACTCTCGCTGCCAGGCGTTCTTTAAAAACGAGGCTTAGACACACGTTCGGCTTGAATTTACCACAGTGTTTATATCACATACCGCACACTGTGACTCGCATGGTCACGGATGGGAGTAGTGAGTCGTTAAATGTGTTAATCACATTGGTTCTCAAGCCACAGGCAGTCACAGACGTCGCAGCGTTCGTCCCGGCGCCACCGCGGTCGTCACGTTGACACTGTTGAGCACACAACCATGACGATTGAGCGCGGCTTGGAAGTCTGCCGGATCCGCGGTACGCAGGTGCTGCCGGCCTGTTTTTGTGCCAGAGTATCGGCCCGGCGAATGCGAGCTCTCTCCACTGTCGGCGCTCTTCTAAAGTCGTCCTCTCTTCGGGAGTTGGTAGAATCCGTGGCTGGCCCCACGCTCTCGGCAGAAACGCGTGCTTGGGTGCGACGCTGAGAACGACGCGACTGATAGCACAGCCAATGGAGACCGCTCGTTACACCGATGCCGAATGATTTTTAGTTTCTCCTAGCCACATTTCGCTGTAAAAACGAGCGCCACGGCTTTCGAAATGACCATCGTAGCTTTTCAAGGTAAAGACCAGCTGTACAAACCGATCTGTTACGACTGTAGTGTGCTTTGTTGAGCTTTTATTTGTCCCCTCTTTTCAATAACGCGCCGCAACTGTTCGACTACAGGATGGAATCCCTGCCGCAGCGAAATATTGAGGCCCAGGGGCACGCTAAACCCGAGGTGGTTGAAATTGCCTTCCTCAAAAGAAGTTACCTATTAACGTGTTGCAATTTTGGGACGTAAGGCCCTAACAATTCTGATCATATTACTCTCTTTTTCATGGCTCACACCATATTCAATATAAGTTGAAGGCCATGTCCTGAGCCTACATTTACCTCGCAGAACTGAGAATGTGCGACATACATTCTGAATCTAGGACGAGGCAGTACGGATTCAAAGTGCGATTGAACAGTTAGCTGAAACAAAAAATAACCTGATAATGACTGAACAGAGCCACGATTCTGCAGCACAACTCATGGCGCCGCTTTGAATCGTGCGTTCTGACGTTGACTGATAAGATATTTTGGTGCACGGCATAACAAACTTCAAGCACATGCTAAACTGGTTGTCAAGTGCTGTCACCCTGTTGCCAAAAAATAGGTAATTAGCTTGCTTAAATTAGAATCGTGGCACTACGCACCGCCCAAAAAAGGCACCTAGTTCAGCCCCTGGTGCACTTTTTCAGAGTGCATTAATTTATTTCCCACAGGACGCAACGAGATCATGTTGCAAAACAAGTGATCAGTCAAACCAGCAAAGAAGAGATCCTGCAGCAGCTGTTTTTACGGCACTTTTGGTCAATTGCAACATTCACGTACTCGTCATTGAAATCCTCTTCGGTGCTGAGGAAAAATTTAACACATTTCCACATGAAATGGCACCATACAGTGAAGCATTTTGCAACATTTCCGGAATGGGCATCCAAATGCAGGTAAAATAAAGGAAATTATGCATGAAAAGCAATATGCCTGACCAGCCAGGCATCATTGTCAGAAAAAACACAGTGTTCATGTCCTGCACATTTATTTTCAGCATATTTTCTATAAAAATACCCGGTTCGCGACTATTTTGTACAAACTATGTACACAATGCTTTTTCTTCCAAAAGGACTATGCCACTTAAATATGAGAGGAGGAACAGCAGTGCACCACATGAGGGAAATAACTTACCGCGCGCGCCGAGAAAAAAAAAAAAAAAGATGCCACGTATGTACACGACAGTTTGTGAAATGGTAGTTTACAATGCTTGTTGTGAAGATGAATGAGGAGGTCAATGCGGGTGGTAGGTTCTCAAAAATAAATACAGGATGGGGAATGGAACAACAAAAAGGAAGAGGGCCCATCATATATCACAGCTACGCAATAACTTGTCCATTGGCTTCTTCGTCGCCCCTGAAAAGATGGGCGCCTCCCGGGACGACGACACCCCAGTCCTTCCTCACAGGCAGTCAATGGCAGAGATTCGTCGTCGATGATGAATTGGTGCTCGCTACACGGGGCGTGATCATCAAATGCAAATGCTGTCCTGACTTCCGGTGGAGTTGTGGTCCACCAGCGAGGACTGCTCGGCGCGCGCACAGCGCACGGGAATGTTCTCGGAGACGGTGGAGTTGAGGTCGTCGGACAGCATCCACTCGTGCTCGAGGATCTCCTCCAGACTGGGTGGTGGTAGTGGTTACAATGAAGAGGAAAAAGGCACCTAATTTCTGTCTGCCTTCAGGCGACACGGCGCAGTGCCTTATAGGGGTGGGGGGAAGGAGGGATAAAAAGAATAGAAGGAAAGTAGAAGCAGAAGAAGACAGCCAACGAGAGGAAAAAAGAAGGAGATAGGAAAGTGGGGATCCGGTCGAAGCAGTCCAAGGGCGGGGTGCCACAATGCGAGAGCTACACGGCGTCAGGAGACCGCGGAGGGCGAACCAGTCGGCGGGAGCTACGCTGAAGTCGGAGATCGCGAGGGCACAACCGTCCAGCTTGAAATCCTGCGAGCGAATCCAGACTGGGCCGATCGGCGGGTGCCAGCGCCAGGCAGCGCCGGATGAGGTCCTCGCACATGGGCGACAGCTTCCGCCGGAAGTGGAGCTCGGCGCGCAGGATCTGCTCGTCCTGCTCGAAGGGAATGTCGCCGCACACCATGTCGTAGAGCAGGATGCCCAGAGACCACACGGTGGCGGCGCGGCCGTTGTACCGGCTACGCTGGATCCACTCCGGAGGGCTGTACACTCGCGTGCCTGCGCAGAGAACGCAATTGCATGCGGCGAACGGCCACGTGACCAAAACAGAGCGGCTTCCGGCAACAAAGATGGACGCCGCCCATCGATCGACACTCACCGTCAAAGTCGGTGTAGAAGCCTTCTCGCAGAAAGGCTCCCGACCCGAAGTCGATGAGGTTGACCGAGAGGGTCTTGAGATTGACCAGAATGTTCTCATCCTTGATGTCGCGGTGAATGACGCCGGCCTTGTGGCAGGCTATGACGCACTGCACGATCTGCTTGAAGAACAGCCGCGACAGAGTTTCCTCGAGGACGCCCTTTTCGGTGATGTAGTCGAAAAGGTCCTTAACCAACTCGTGCCGCTCCATGATGAGAATAAACGAGTCGGGCCGCTCGTACCAGTCCAGCAGCCGGATCACACCCGGTACGTGGTCCACGCGCCGGAGCAGCACCACTTCCAACGGAACCCTCTGGCCGTTGATCTGTTCGGGAGACAGACAGATCAAGCATTTCATTTCGAAAGGGCGCGATCACTTTCGAGCGCAGAGACGCGAGCATCGATCGAGCCAAGAAGAAAATATTGCCGCCGAGCGGCCAAACAATCGAGCGCGGCGGGCGCCGCTCAGTCGCGCACGAACAATGCCACGAAACGCGCGCCGCCGCCATTTCACCGAGCGACGAACTGTCGGGCACGAAGGGGAGAAGCCTCAAACATGGCGCCCATCTAGGTTGCGGAGGAGAAGGCGGCTCCTCCTCGCCCGGCCGAAAGAATAACCGATCTAGGTTGGCTGCATTCCTGACCGAGGCAAACGGACGCCCCGAGGGCGCATTCTTTTCACACTCGGCAGAAGCAAAACCACTCACCGTGCCCCACTCGGTCACCTTGTCCCGAGATACATGCTTGATGGCCACCTGGAAAGTTAAGAGAAACAACACTCCGTCATTCCGGGAACAGCGGTTTCGCTTCAACACATACGCGCATAAACCAAGAGCTAGCAATAACGTGAAGGACGATAATTCGGTGAAATAAGAAACTTGGCGCTAAATCAAAAGCCACACATGGAGGCCCGCTTACCGCCAAGTTGTCGCGGTTCCGGGTGCCAGCGTACACCGTGCCAAAGCCTCCCTTGCCCAGCAGCGCGCCGATGCGATAGTTCTTTTCGAACGAGTTGTTCTTCTCGGCTTGCACTGCAAAGAGCGGACTGTGAGTATCCACGACCAGGGTTTGGAAAACACCGCAGCCGAGCACTGTGATGTTGTGGTCATTACCTGGGCGATCCCACAGCATTGAGCTTAGAGTGGGTAAGCGCCGTCCGACCATCGCTGTGTAATCCAGGGCGGAGCACACAAACACACACGCAGTTGTTGATCAAACCACGACGGGTAATCCAATAGGGCAGCTGCAGCGACAACCACGCACAGTTTGGCGGCTTTTTTTTTTTTTTTTCTAGCCACCACGCGGATCACGAGCCAGCATCACGGGCATCCACTGCCGTCTATGAATCGCGGACGCCCGCGCTCATGTGATAAATATCGAGGGAGAGGAGGCGTCCCACGTCGTTCATATTACTCCGCCAACTGACGCCGGCGTGGAATTCCCCCACTTATATTCAACTAACTCCGCAGTAAACAGTACGCTTAGACTTTGTCGCTTTACAAGGTTTTCAAAGACAAATTCGGTGCTTTTTAAAAATTTTTACGGCGTGAATAATGTAAAATATTAGGACACGACACAAGCACTATTTCGGCCCGACCCGGCGGAAGGTGAAAGGCGCAGTGGTCTCCAGACAAGCACACCAAAAAAAAAAAAACCCCGACGTCACGGCGCCTACTGACGTCATAATTGACTCGGTCCAATGGCCGCGCTTTCGGCGTCCGCCCAATGGAAGGGCGGGAAAGGGCGCAGAAAAGACGTGACGTAAGAGGAAAAGGGCGCGGAATGTACGCTATGCTTGTGTGTATGTGCGGCGGGCGCGCTTGCGGAGGAGCCTGTCGTTTTTTGTTTTCATTCTGGCTGTCTGGCGCCTTTTTTTTTCTTCTCTCCCTCAATTGGAGAGCGTTTAGTACCGGTACGCACACATCGTACGCGCGCGGGGGCGGCGGCGGTGTCGCTGGCTGCCGCCGCTAGCAGAGGGCGCGACCAGCGGCGACGTGGCCAACGGCCTGAGAAGGTCACCGCGCGCTCTCGGAAATACCGGCGCACTGTTGTTTTTCCCTTGTTTGTTTTGACTCTTCGGAGAACGGGGCTGGGGGGCATTTCCATATCGGCTGATGTCACTCACTCCGGCACTGTTTTTTTGGGTGTTGTCCGACATCGGAGGTGGCATCGTTTGACCATAGAGTAACATAACAATTACAAGAGTGGTCACTCGGGCCAAAAAGCGGTGGAGCTTCGCAGCTTCACCCCAGCCGTAAGATGGCAACACATCACTCACTGCGTGAAGGAAACACGCGTACCAGACTACAGTAACTCTTTTACGTGTTTTCGCGTATGTGATAGTGGCCTGAATCAGTATTTATCGTCTGCGATTGTACGGTGCGATGTCGTCGTACTGGGATCAGGCATACATCGGATGCGAGAAAAGTGCACATGGCGTTGGCGCGACGGCAACGTTGTCACGCTCCGTGTTCATGAGTTTTCAGGGCAATGAAGAAGTACGGGCAGCAGCAGGAAGATGCCATAAAAGATGTGCGATAACGTGCCCGGCGTGCGTCGAGGTCTTCGCTTGTTTCGTCTGCCTCCCAGCTTGCTGCTAGCTACAAACGCCATCAATACTTCGTTAAGTGCGTATCGCATTTGTCATTGAAGCCCTAACCTAACGATAGTTATAGCGCGAGAACAAAACGACGACACAGAGACAAGAAGGACACGAAAGACGCGTCCTTCTTCTCTCTGTGTCGTCGTTTTGTTCTCGCGCTATAACTATCGTCTTGCCATACCAACTAGCCCTAGCTGCCACACTTAACCTAACGTTTTTGGCATTGCGCTGTTCGGCGCAGCCAACATCCTTTTTGTGCCCTTCACCTTGTGTACTGTTTTCGTGGATTGCTTCACACAAAAGAAAAAAGTTTGAAATGTTTTGCAGCACGTTTACGAGAAAATTTTTTCTTACGTTGGTAGGTTTTCTTTTTGCCGCTACGTGTATTCGAATTCACTGAATGAGTGAGAATTTGTAAAATGTGCTGCTACGCTCAGTATCGTTGTCTATGCCGTCCGCAAATCGGTTGAAGCTGCCCCGCCGCGGTGGTCTAGTGGCTAAGGTACTCGGCTGCTGACCCGCAGGTCACGGGTTCGAATCCCGGCTGCGGCGGCTGCATTTTCGATGGAGGCGGAAATGTTGTAGGCCCGTGTGCTCAGATTTGGGAGCACGTTAAAGAACCCCAGGTGGTCAAAATTACCGGAGCCCTCCACTACGGCGTCTCTCATAATCATAAGGTGGTTTTGGGATGTTAAACCCCACAAATCTACGTAATCGGTTGAAGCTCTAACGAGCGCAATAAGAGAGCAGTGGTGAATCTAGAAAAATGTTTGCTAGCTAACGCTAGGACGTAATTTTCGAGTAAGCACTCCTGCCTCGTTAACGGCTTCCATGACACCTGAAATTGCTGTTTCTTGCTGCGGCAACTGCTTGTGACTTTTTTCGCGAAAAGCGATGTAAAGTGTGTACAAGAAAATCGTGCAAAGATGGGAAAGAAAACGTAGCCAACGTTTTCTTTTTTCGGCTCATTTCGTAGTCAAGTGCTGGGGCAACTACTGCCGTGTCGCGTTGTGCACTGTACGTGTAGTTGTGTGCGTTTATTGCAGTTTTACTCTGCTGTGGTTTTTCTTATATTGTTGCCTACGTGTTTATTTCTTTGTGTTTTTTATCATTATGACAGCTGTATTTTCGCGTCTCGCGGTGCAATGAACTTTTCTTTGTGCCTGCGTTGATCGAACATTAACAAAGTTGGCATGTGCTTACCAAGAATATCACTTGAAAATAAACGTTTTCGCTCCTCCAATAATTCTCATGTTTTGATTAAAATGTGTGCATAGACGCACATAAGCATCGTGTGCTGGCCGCTTTTATCGGTGCAGCTTAGACGAAGCTCATCCGTGCATGTAAACGAGGCGTTAACAAAAAATTAATGTATGGCCACAGAGACGAGCACGCACGTAGAAGTGGTCTCGGAGACTGTATAATATTCCTAGTCACTACAAAATGGCCTTCCAGACAGTCTTTTTAGTGGTTTGCCATCTCTGAGGTTGAAAAGTGTCCCTACACGCGCGCTGCGAACCTAAATCAGTCGCAGGGGCCTTTGAAAGTGTCCTCTCTTAACCTCTTTAGACCGCTGCCAGACCCGACGTTGCTACCCACGCGCCGAACTTTATCTTCTTATGCTTCGTCGACTATGGACAACTGTTTTCCTTCTCGCAAGCGCTTTTTTTTTCCTCTGCATTGGTGTTGTTCGTGGACCGGAGCAACCTTAAGATGCGGGATGTGCTCCAATGACTAATGTACGTGGGTTACCGAGGTGCATCTGTTGTGATTCAAGTCTCACTTTTTGGTTCGGCTGAAGCCAACGCTTCTATCAAAAAAGAGTAGCGCCCAAGAAGCCAAATATTTTCAAGTACGACGAAGTCGTGAAAGCCGAGTTCTTTGATCCCAGACGCCATGAGATTACAAAAAGTTTCCGCTCTTTCAACCGCTGCCAGCTGGATTGTTGCAAAATACATTGCTGAGAATCGTCGAATTGCGGACAACTGTGATTTTGGTACCATGCTCGACCGTATGCTACGGAATATAATAGTGTGTGGCATCAGATTGAGTGCAGTGCAAAAACAGATGCTCATAAAGAAAGATCTGACTGGACACTAATGACGTTAGCTGGAGAAGCGTCAGTGGTGCTAAAAAAGCGAAGCGCAGTCGTTCACGCGCCGAATGTGGCCGTTCGGGCAACAGTAATGGATGTCGTGGAAATGAGCACGTTGTTATCACTGCGGTGGACGCGGTCACCAAGTTCGAAAAGTCCAGGATGGGGAAATCGCAAGGTATCGAGCTCGACAAGCACTCTCGGGAATACACGGAAGAGTTACGGTTGTTAACGAAGAGGAAACAGGTAAAGCCACATAGACGTCATTTTTCCACATCTGGACGCCAGGATCGGCACCGGAGGTAACTGTCAAGACCCCAATACGACGGGACTTCTTGTGTGTTGACGAATCAATGTTTATGGATACTATAATTCGCCGGTTCGCTTCGTGTTTTGTCAGTTTTTCGAGCAGCACAAGAACGCTTGGCCTCCGCTGATCACTAACAAAGCTGTCATGCTATTTGGGAAAATCGCCAGTTGCGAGAAAGATGTCAATTTTCATGAAGGGGAATACGCGTCGCCCGCGCGCTCCAGCGGCTGCACGTTTAATCAGGAGCGATAGCAGAGTCTTCAACCGTTTATTGTCGGCGTTCGCTTATTCTTCTCCCCCGATGGGAGGGAAACAGAGTCGTCATTGTGGTTGTTGTCCGAGTTAATGGTAGATGCGCTGTTTGGGGCATCGGTTTCACCAGCTAAACTGGCCAGAATTCGTCACTCCGCCTTGATTCCCAGCGGTTGCCTTACCGAAATTTCGAAGCGACTCTGGGCTATTCGTAGGAACTACTTCAATTCGCCCATTGGACTTGATCAGCTATTTCCGCTGGTTAAAAAGATAATTGTCTCAAATTCTGTAAAAACTGCCGTAAATAATGTTTGTAATTGTTCAGCAAACTGGGGGCAACCAGTTCGCTGAAAAATTATGAATTACCAACTAGCCCACTTTTCCATCCTGTTGTTAATAATGTTTTTACACACCTGAAGACGCCGTCTGTCAAAGGGAAGGGAACACCGCAGGTGTCTCTTTTGTGTCATTTTTAAATAATATTGCACACATTTCTGGAAACACCATATATATATATATATATATATATATATATATATATATATATATATATATTGAAAAAGGGTTTATTGGCGACTGTTGTGACGGTGGTCCTACGACGAAACACGATCGGACAAGAGCAACGGTCAAGCAGATGCCGGCGATGATCAGCACGAGCCGAGCGAGACAAGCCCAGCACCCAGTACCCAAGCGACGGTGGCGATGTTGCTTGCCAACAATGCGTTTTCTTCTTCACAATTTGCCCCCGCCAAAAAAGAGCCATCCTGGCGACCTAAGAGTCTGGAGGCAGAGGGCTATGATATGGCTTAAGGCGGGCGACGTGGACGATGTCACGTCCACGCCGGCGCATGTCGTCAGATGGGGAAAGTGGCTCGATGAGAAAATTCACCGGCGAGGTTTGCTCCAAAACGCGGTATGGGCCCTCGTACTTTGGAACGAGTTTTGAGGAAAGGCCGGGGGTTTGGTAAGGAACAGCCAGCCATACAAGTGATCCCGGGGAATAGCTGGGACTTTGTGAAGAGTCGGCGTTGTTTTCTTTCTGGCGCTGTTGTTCTTGTGACGTAAAGGTGCGTGCGAGTTCACGGCAATCTTC